AAAGGGAAAAGGGAAAAAAAAAGTTGAAGAAGTTGGAGCGTCGGGCTGAGGTGAGGCAAGGCGAAGCGAGATGAGGCAAGGCAAGGCAAAGCAAGGCAAGGGGAAAAAGGAAAAAAGGGGACAAGGAAAAAAAAGGAAAAAGGAAAGAGGAGAAAGGAAAAAGGTAGAGCAGTTGTAATTGTTTTCTTGCTGGGGTTTTTGTGGTGCTCAGACTTGTGAAATGTATCACAGCCTGACTGCTGACCTATTACAACTGCTTGAAGACCTCAGCCAAAAATTCTGATACTGATACAGCAACATATAATCTGCTCAATCTAAAAATAAAGAATGATGCTTAGAAAATAGTGTAAGATTAATTTATTTACAAATATTTCAGCCAGTTATATTTTAAAAAAAACTTTTGTTCTGAAAACTGAAGAATAAAAGTGCAATTGAGGAATTTTAGACGCAGATGCTTTGCTGTTCCTTGGGGGTATTTTTAGTGTTGGCTTTTCCTTTTCTGGAAGCTTCTAATGTAACAATACCTTGCACCACAGTGCTGATGCAGGGATCAGTGGTTCATTAAAAGCTAATCCGTGAGACATTAGATTTACAAGTGTCACAGACACATTAGATTTGAGAACAAGGAGGAACAGCAGTGGTGAAAGGATTGTCAAATATACAGAGAATATCCCCATAAGTGGTACTACCATTAGTTTTGCAGGAAAGCATTAGTTCTAAAAATTAATTTTGTATGTGTAATTACTGGTCACAGCTGTTTAGGAAGTGGTATTATAGCAAGTTAGACTGAAATCAATCAAAAGAGGTTTTATTTATTTTTTTCCATTTGAGATTATCTCACTGGTTTAAGCAGCACTCTTTATACTCAGAAATCCCTACATCTGTAAAAAAAAAAACCACAAAGACTGTAAATATCTAATCAGTCTTGAATAATTCAGCTATCTTTGCTTGCACACGAACTACATACAACCTTTCAGACTAACTCCCGGCTAATTCCTTCGCTATGAACGTCAGTCAGTTATCTACAAGGATTTGATATAGTCTTTATAGAAAGAGAAAATGGCAGAAACCGCTTTACTTTTCCTCCATGGATAGTCGGTAAAGATTCTCGCCCAAGTACTCGAGCCTCTCCCGTTGTTCCAGGTCCTGGTACAAGCCTTTGGGGACCTTGCTCAGGCCGTAAACCAAGCCGTACAGGCAGCCGGCAATAGACCCGGTAGCTGCGCTTTCTCCTGCGGGTTTAAGCATAATTGCAATGGTCTCTCAGAGTCACCTTCACATACACAACCAAAACCCACGCTGCACAGAGGAGGAAATATTACGCTGCCCATGGAGCGTGGTGAGGGCATGTTGGGTCACTCCCAAAGGCTTGCACCACCCCATGTCCTGCCTCTGGCAGTGCCAGGTGAGGATGCCTAGGGAACAGAGTGATGCCAAAGCAAGGATGCGGCGCCGCCCCTGAGGCATACGTTCCTGGGCTAGGAGTTTATTTGGTTTTGGGAAAATCCACTCCAACACAACAGCTCTTGCAAGCAGCTCGCCATTGCGAGGGAAAAGGAGGGAAAAGTAGTTGCAGGGGGCCCTGCTACATGGCAAACCTGGATTGGAGCATACCTTCCTTCCTAACAGCACAGCACGGCATTGCACGTGCTTTAAACCATCTAGCCACGGTGAGTAGCACCAATGCTCTGTGCCGTGCCCGTGGGTTTGTGCCTGCTGGGCTCTCCAGCAAGGGGCTGTGAGCTCTCTTGGTTTCACTATGTGCAGCCAAAAGGTTGCATTGCCAAAGGCACCAGTAATTTGGTGGGGGAAGATGCCAGCCCTTTACTAAGTCATATTGGGTTTACTTCTCATGCACGCCTCAAAATTGTGAGTCTCAGATGGAGCAACATTTGAAAAGTGGTGTGAACGGCTTGCATGGCATCTGCTGCTGCAAGAAGGATGTTTAGGGGGTAAAACCAGGGGTGCAGATATAACAGGCAGCATGACAGATTGGCCAACAGTGGCAGCCAACATCCCGGGGGGCTCTTTCCTGCCGCTGGCAAGGGAGAGGGGGGTGGGAGCCATGGGGGGGCCCTTACCTCCGTGGAACATGGAACGGTTGCAGAGCTCCGTCCAGTCCCCACCGCAGCCCAGCAGAGCATCGTAGGCAATCATGGGGGCATCGTGGCCTCGTCTTCCTCCCCGGCCTTCAGAGCTCCACCTCCTGTACGTCTGCGGGAGAGACGGCGGTGTCAGGGTAGGGCACTGCAAATGGGGATGTGGGGCCTGCGGCTGCGCCAGAGTGGCTTCTCTCCTGCTGGGTGGGAATAGCTTGTCTCACAGGGAAAGGGCAGTAGGCCTCTTGACTCCCCTTGTCACACATTTGCAAATGTTTCAATCAACCAAATTTTACATGGGGGTGAAAAAGTTCTGATTCAGTAATTTCTTTCGGGGCTCGATTTCAGACTACGTTAATCCAAGCCCCCTTCTCTGACTTTTTCTTGCCAAACCCTTTCTCTCCTCTTCCACAAGCCTTTATTGAACAAGAGGGAAGGTAATTTGCAAAAGTAAGAAACAATTCTTCCCCAAGAGAAGAAAGAAGAAAAAAACCCCAAAGCCCACAGCTAAGTTTGCAAAGGAAAATCGGATTTTCTCCAGAGGAGGTAGCTTCAGAACCTTTTTCCTGCCCAAAATCCCCAAATGAACTCAACACTGATAAATCCATGGTAAAAGAAACTCCTTCCCTTAAAGGAAATGGGCAGCTTTATTTCCTGAAGTTTAAGTTATGTTATGGTAGGTTGAACTGTTGCTGCTTGGCTGGCTCTTGGCTTCTGCAACATGGATGAAGGGTTTGCATTTCTATCTGTCCACCTTCACCTCAGCCATTACATACTTGGTTGTGGTTTATCTACATATACACCAGACAAGGCAGAGTTGGACTACGGCTTCACTCTGCTGCTTTCTTTTTCTTTTTTTCTTTTTTTTTTTTTTCAATCTAGGAAGCGTATTTATGTCTTTATGCTGTCCTCGGACACATGCAAACTTTCCAGCCTTATTGCTGCCATTTGGGTGCTGGTGGGGCAGTACTGACACACGTGTGGTACTACCAAAGGCAAGAGGACTAAGTGTGGAGCTGCTATTCTGGGTGCGCAGGCAGGTGGCTCGAGTGTCACTTCATTTAGGCCTTTAAGAACGCTGATGCTCTGCACCCATCTGATGTCGCCTTGCTGCAAAAACTTTACACGAGGGCTAGCTGTCCTCGGGTCTGAGCCTCTGGGGACTTAGCTGCACCAAGGCAGCGTTTCTCAAACATTGCAAAAGTGCACCCTCCTTTCGACTCCTGCACCTTCGTGCAGCCCTGCGATGTGGCACCAGCCCAGCTTCCCTAGGGTGGGCGGGCAGGCGAGGAGCGGCAGCGCTGAGGGCATGGACGGGGATCTCAATGCACACTCCCTC